AGAAAAATTAATTTCCTATTTTGATTATTAAAATTCATTAACCAACACAGATAACTGTCATTTATTTTTGACGTGGGGTAATATTGTAAATTTATGATTTCTAGGGAGAATTTTCCAAGGCTTCAGGTAGATATGTTAATAAAAATGGAAGCCAACTTATCACTTTCCGGTGATATAATGCAAGTCAATTTTAATGTCAGGATATTCCTTCAATGGGTTAACCTGCGAGACCTGTAAATTTGATGATGCCAGAATTTGGTTGGTTTTAATTCAAATGCTGTTTATTGCTACTTTGGAAATAGTACTTTTTTTGGGATATGCATCGCTTTTCTGATATTTATTTCTTTGTTTAAGTTGCAAAAAAGATTAAGATTAATAGGGGAAGTTCTATACATAAGTATAGTTGTGCAATGGAATTATACTCAATTGATAAATTTTTCACATTTCATCCTTGGTCTGAACTGTATGAACTAAAATATTTTTCAATTTATAGGATACAATGTCTCCTGTTTCTTTGTTGTACTTCACAGTTTATTCTATTCTTTTTTCCTTTTTTTTTTGGGTAAAATGTCCATCAAAATGCATTACTTATACAGATTTATTAAGTAGGTCAGAGTTCCTGAAGCTATAAAAGAAAACCTAGATCTAATGGAAAACAATCTTAGTTTTGAAAGGTGTAATGTATCAATATCAAATTTGGTGTAGCCTGTGTGTGTGTGTGTGTATATATATAACAGACTGTATTGAAAGATCATTATATTCTTTCGAAAATGGTGTATACCCAAGTTGGCATTTTCAATAAGACTCAAAGTCTAGATTGTAATAGAACTGCACAGAACCTACACCGGCACACCCACCAAAAAGCCAGAAATTGCCATTGTAAGAAGCACGAACGGGCACAGAAGCAATAGGCAAAAAGAAAGCAGCCGCGAGCATTGTTATCTATATATATGACACCTCACGTGAGAAGATTCTTATTAATTAACATTAAACTCATACAAAAAATAAAGGCACGGCTCAATCTGTAATATCTCGAAAATGATTATCATTATATGTCCATTATATGCGTCCCCCAAGTAATTCAAAAATAATGGTTTAAATTGTTACTTGAAAATAATGGAGTTTAAATCATGAAGCAAACCAACAAATATCTTTTGGTTGCTTTGCGTTTGGCCATTGTTGTAAGAAACGACACTTGATTTCTTTCCTATCGTTCGATCCTCGTGGTCCAGTTTGGGGACATTAACAATGTAGATATCTAAATTACTCTTGGTATTTAGTCAAAATTCTTTACTTTCCCATATGAGAAAATTATATTCAATGTTTGGGCAACAAAAAAAAAAGGATTTGCTTTTCATTTGACTTTGGGTGTATTATTTATTTGGTAATCTATGTTTCTGTTAAATCATATATCATCATTATAAATGATTTACATGATACAATATCCCTTTGTTTCTATTGTTCTTGATACAATATCCCTTTTTTTCTATTGTTCTTCACAATCTACACTTCACTTGGTATCATTTACATCGATACGCGCTACATACGCTGTAATACCCCAAACTTCCTGTTATATATTCGGCCAATATGATTCATGCATTTCATGCTATTCACAATGTTACTTGCATTAGTTTTCATAATTACTTTATCTTAAAATGGTGCATTCGATTATGGATATTTTAAGATTATAGTCGTTGACTCCTAGACCTAGGTGTTGAATGTTGTATTGAGCTATGATAGAAAATTAGGTTAACTAAATGTTGGAGATTGGCTTGATAAGAAATGGAATATCGAAAAGGTAGGAAATCGGTATCGACAAAAGTTCAAGCTTTCTATTCAGTTGATCGAGACCACCTTAAACCCTAGATAGGTAATTGACATATTTGGGACATGATACACAAAGGAACATGATCATGATGCGATGATATATGTCTCATATGACATTATAAATATCAAGGTGCGATTTGATGAAATCGGTCGAGAATGGGGTGTCAATCGGGTAAGATTAAATGAACGATTGAGGAATTAGCTCTATAAAATATTTTGGGATCTTAAGGCAAGTGAAATGGATTGTAAACACATTGACATAAGCCCAGGATACTTGATTTATACCTGCAAAGATAGATATAAAATCAGATTTTTTTACTAGTGACCACCTCATGCTCGGGATAGTTGTCATTTTAACACTCAATCCCTTCATCCTTAAGATATATAGCATGTCTCCTACCTC